TTCCTAGAAATAACTATTTGGGTCAAATTTATGAGCAGTTTGGGGATGACTGAATTACTTTTGGGGGAGATTTTGCAATTGCCTTCTAAGAAACTGCTGAGATCTACCTGCTAATTACTATTAGCAGCTCTGACGATCCTTTGGGCAGGTGGAGACCATGTAGAAGAGACAGAAGTGAGACAAAACATTTTCTAAGCAAAGATATAATTAGGGATTAGAGAGACTGATCCTACTGCATAGTGTAATTAGGAGATTATGTCATGTCACTGACCTGGATTAGACTTGACAGAAAAATCTCTACCCTGCTATATAAACCCTTCCAGGTTTTGAAATGGAAACCTGTAAACAAAAGATCTTCACTGCCTTAAATCCATGTCCTACAGCAGCCTTGCACAGCTAAGGCTTGCATGTTGAGGAATGAATGGAAACTTGTGTGGTCTCCTGGGTTAGAGGTAGAGAAAACCCTGACGGGAGGTGACCACCAGCTCCGTCTGCTACTTCCCCTGACCCTCTTCTGGGGTTCCCAGTCCTCCCCGTCCAAACCTTTCTCTGAGCCCCTCCGGGGTGCTGGCAGCAGGGGGCAGTGGGCTTGAGGACCTCCTGCTCTGGCTTCTGGGCAGGCTCCTACTGGGATCTCCCCTAGGGTTTGGGAAGAGGCTTGAAGGGCACGCACACACACACACCCACACACACACACCCCCGAGCCCTGGGCATCACGTGGGAGGACAGAACCACTTCCTTGTGTGGGGCCAAGATCTGTTCCTACACACCAAAATTTATCACTCACCAATAGTACCTCACACAGCAGGTGAAAAAGATGAACCTTGTGGGTTGGTGGGCAGGGAGAGAGGGAGAAACCTGCTTGCTCACAGCCCCAGTCTCACAGAGTCCTATATCAGCCAAGCCAGCTTCTAAATCAAATGAACACAAATAAAATTGTGAGAATCAGCTACAAGGATTACATTCCCTTACCTCCTACCCTAAAGTATTTCTAAAATCAATAACTCAAAAAAATTTAAATCATACCTCTAAATGGACCACCAGCAGTATAGGCTTGGAGCGCTCTTGGTACATTAGTTGATGAATTCTTACTAAAAGTCAATAAAACACTCCAGTGAAGCATCCCTCAAATCAAGCAGTAAGACCAACGCTGGCATTCAACTACAGTATTTTTTGTGGGGCTCAGAGCCATAGATTCCTGAGGAGAAGAAAGAAGTGGGGAAGCATAGTGCTCTCCTGCAGCTACGAGCACTTTGCCATGAGTTTCTCTGCCATGCACTACAATTGCAGCAGCAAGGCTGCCAGTTGTCACATCATCTTCTTCTCTTCTTTTTTGTTTTTATCTAGTATTAATTCTTCAACACAGAAACCACCTTTTTACTGTGTTGTATCTATTCTTGTTCATGACAGTGTAGACTGTAAATGCAAACAACTCTGAGCACTTCCCTCATTATATATTTTCCAGTACACAGGTGGATAATAAAATAATAATCTACATTTTATGGTCAGTTAACGAGAATAAATCTGTGGGTGAAATGAATGTGACAAAAGCCTGGTGTGAGAAGGCCCTGCAGCTTCTGCAGATCCATTTCCTGTTCCATGCTCTAAAATGAATGTATAGTTAAGTTTCAACAGCATTCACATGTAACTGCCAGATAATAAGAAGAGATCTTGACCAAACCAAAGGCTTCTTTTACTTTGAGGAGCACTGATTTTGACAAGGTCATTTGTCTTTCTCTTGCTATGCAATCACAGAATGAAAAATTGCAGAATTTACAGAAAATAGAGAGTTATCAGCACATCATCTTGTCAGACTGTGATTTGTCTGGAGATGAATGACTGTCGGATTTCCTCAGCCTAGGAAGCTAATCTGAACACTGTCTGTGGTCTAGTAATTTTTCTAGACTTCCTAGCACTCATGCCAAGCCAAATATTCAGGATACTAAAATGAAGATATTTAAACATGTGATTTTAATGAAAAATTATTCCAGAGCAAATGTTTGGATTCTCAGATCCATCCTCTTTTAAGGTATTATTTGGAATTGTTTCACAATTTTATCTATAATAAGAACTAAATACTTGTGATACACCATAAGCTTGTCTAGTAAGTGTACTTGTCTCCCCTCTACATTCTGTTTTCCTTGGTCAAGATTATTACCCCCTTGAGTACCATACTTAGCCTTTTGCTATCTGACAAGCCAATTAAAAAGTTATTTGAAGTTGTAAGTAAAGAAGTAAAAGATTTAGAACTATAAAAAGTAATGTGTATACTTCTATAAAAGCATGTATCTGGGGGATATTAAATGACTGCAATATACAGTCAGGAATAAAAGGTAACACAGCAAATGTGAGCTGTCATTTCTTCTCCCATTAGGAGATTAATTAATTTTCCTTTGACAGTGATAGCAGTTGAGCTTCAACATAATGACACATAATATGAAAGCATAAAAGCTTCTTTTGAAAGTGCATATTGATAGTTATCTGCCTGGGACCCTACAAAGTACACTAGATCTTTTTTTTTCCCCCACATTTGGCCCAGCAGGACCATTAGGCAGTTTGTCAGAGATTGCAGAAAGGCTCGGGAGCTCCTGAGATCTGAGTACATCCCTATTTCCAGAGAGGTTTTTTGAGTTTGGAAGATGCTGAAGATCTATCTGTTCCTAAAATACCTGCTTGCTTAGGGGAATTTTAAATATAAGTCTTGTCACTTGTGTATGGGATTAATTAACCCTGGGGAGAAAGTAGTCTTCTTGTTTATCTAACAAAATGGCCTGAAAAGGTCTGTGTTTAAAAGAAAGCCTACCAACTGCATGACAGCCTAGTTCTGAGTAATAATCCTGTCACCACTGCACTGCGGTTGCTTTGGGGTTCACCCAGAGCCTCGGGGGCAACTTGTTCCCTCAACACCCCCAAAGATGCCATTTGTGCTGCAGCGAGCCATCAGTTTGCAGCTCAGCCACCCAGTTTAAGGGGCTCGACTTTACTTCCAGGAACTGGGATGAGTTTCTCTGGCAGTCCACCCTGCTTTTCCAGCAGATGGCAATAACCCATAATGGGCTGTCTC